TGAATACAAAATTTATTGAATTAAAAAGTTGTAAGCGTGAAAGATGAGTTACGGAACTATTCATTATGTATAATAAAATAATAGAAAAGAAACAACTGTATTTGTTGTTTGTATGGCTGTAAAAGTGTTCGATGAGTCTAAATATTATTTAAATAATAACATCCACTAAACCTTTCAGTAAGTAATTCGCTTAATATTTTAGATTTAGCTCAACCGTTTTACTTATACAACCTTATCGCGATGTACGAAACTCGTTTTAGAAAGTTTAACTTTCTGAGAAATGAAGCTTTTGTTGATAAATTTAATAACAGGCAGTCATGATAATGCACTTAGATATTAATATGAATTAAAAAAACTTGCTTAAATCGACCTGATTGCAATGGACCCTACTATTCGGTGGAACGAGAGCTTTATATAAGAGATTTTTAAATAAGGAAGAAACACTTTATCTTTGTTATGTGATGAAGAAAAGTAAAGAAAAACCTGCAATAGTTTTCCTGGCATCGCCTTGTAAGCACTTGTCCCGTAGTGCACAACAGAATTTCTTGTTTTCCCGCTCGGCGGTCGCGTTGGGCAGGAACATGGATAGTATAGCTACATCCTCATTATTCTCCCTCGCCCTTCGTATCCTCTCCTGCCCTACAGTTTTCGTAGTTAGGTGCAGGCGAGATTTGAAATCGTCACTTAAAACGTCCGCGGACATTTTTCATACAATATCCCGCAATTTAAAAAAGTTCTAATACTATTTCCGGTTTAATACCACGGTCTATTAACTTTTAATGACAGAAAAAAAACAATGTCAAAAAACAAAACAGTTGGCTTGATTGACAATTTTAGTGTCACAGATTAAAAAAAGCGCGGGAATTTACGAGTGGAATGTTCGAGTAATGGCCGTGCAGGCTTCGCGGCTGGCGGTGCGCTACTGATGCGACGGGCACAACACAGCGCTCGCCTACACCCGGCACTGGAGGCTGTGGATTAACTTAATTGATCGCACACGATAACAGCTCCTTTAGAATTTCCTTTATACGTCGTCGGTACTAAATAATGACATTTAAAATGAAAAGATGTTTTACAACATATTTTGCTGTACGTTATAAAGTCAATTTTCCTTAACAACTAGGGCTAAACTCAAATGCCATCTCTGGTAATAAGAGAACCTTAATGACTATATGCGGCATTAAAAGAAAAAACATATAAGTTAATACGTGGAACAAAGTTCGCGTTGATGTTTGTATGTATATCGGAAGGGAGAGTAGACTGTCATTTTTTTACCGCGGGGTCCGCACTCTCGATGGTTCATCACATTTTTAAGTGGTCTGGGTGACTGTACTCGGCAATTTTATAAGCGTATTTTTTTCCTACGTATTTATATACTGGTATGTAATAACAAGTGCATTTAGGAAATGTAATAATGTCATGGTAAGACATGACATCATTAAATAAACCGCTAATAATCGTGTTAAATTAATGTCTGCGATATGACCGGGCAATGATTGAAATGGCCGATAAATAATCAAAATGACATTACATCTGTGACCTCACTTCAATTATGACATACGAGGGTTTACCTCATCTCGTAATCTAATCAAAAATGTCACTGACAAGTTTCAGACCATTCAAGGGTTCTAAAGCCTTGATAATAGACAGAATTATATTGTTTAGAAGACTAACCGTAGGTTTCTGAGCGCAAAAATTGTCTTAGTTGGTTACAGAAACCAAAGGTAAGACTAATTAAAATTTTAAATTAAGAACAATGTGTTGAACACTAACCAACATTAGACAAACAGTAGGCATGACATAGAAAAATTAAAAATAATCGATGAATCATTAATATATGAGTCGTGATTGAAATGAAATATGAAACCAGACTACAAATTACGTTTGATTTTGATGAATAAATAATAAAATAACAATAATTAACATTTAAAAAAATGGTTCACTATATTTTTACTTTAAATTTACACTGTATTTGTCAAATTTAGGAAAAACTATCATTATACTTGTATACATTACGTCACGCACAATTTAAATTACAAAAATCGTCTTACGATTAAATGTTAATTAAACACTCTGTAATTACATATCTATGTCAAATTGTATTAAAAGAGTTGACGTAATAATAAAAATATTGGCTAGGATGTTGTAATATGTGTCTAGAATTCTGTTTGAGTTTACTTTGAAAATGTATGTATATGACGCATCTGCTTGTTACGAATTCCTTCCAAGATTTGGTCAAATTTATAAATAGTTAGTGGTCCATCGCAATGGCGTATGATAATTTATTACTGACCATTAATATCGCCTACGCGATGACTCAATTATTGTTAACTTAGTGTCATTCTGACGAGCACAGATAAAAAATAAATTTAACAATGATTTTAATAATATGTTTGTATACTATTCCTTTAATTAACTTATTTCTAAATAGTCCACTTTATTTAGTTGAATTGTGACGAAGATAGCAAATGTTATTCGCTTTTTATGGGCTAATTAAAATGTGGCAGAGGTAATGCGTTTAATCGAAAAACTAGTCGCAAATAAGCTAGCTATGTTGGTTTTCGTGTATCATCATCATCATCAGCTCACTATACGTCCCCACTGAGGTGCTCGGAGCCTACCCTAAGTTAAGGGTGATTAGGCCATAGTCAACCACGCTGGCCAAGTGCGGGTTGATTGACTTCACACATATCTTTGAATTTCTTCTCAAACATGTGCAGGTTGCATCATGATGTTTTCCTTGACCGTACGAACATCGGACAACTTTCGTGTATTGCAGTTAGAAAAATAATTAAATAAACATGGTCCGTAATCCGAGTAGTTTTGTGGATTGATGATTGGATGTTAAACAAGGTTAACGGTTTATCACTTCTGTATTGTGGCCGCGAGCACGAGATGTAACGGTAACAATGCTTGCGGTAACACGATTATATTGCCAAGAGAATTATATGTGTACACATTATATCTTTTATGTAAATGAAAAGTATTTTTGATATCAAACTGTATAAAGTTTCCAAGTCCCTAATCCAAAATTGACCCTTAACACCAGCTATAAATATGCTAGATACTTACTTATAAGCAACGTTAGTGCCTATTTCCACTAATCGTGCGTCACACACAAATGGAAATTCTACCTAAAGCGTGTGACATAATATTCTCCAATAGTTCCGACACGTTAGTGAATTAACTTGTGATACAATCGGACAACGGGCGTGTCGTAAATTGCCGACTCGCGCCCAATTAGGCGTCGCACTAGCCGGCGGACAGTGACTTACGAATGCCGCGGATTTACACAATTGAAAAACTAAATTGGATTGACTGGGAGGCCATGACTAGATATTTTTAACCAGGTTAGTATATGATAATTTACAGTCTTAAAACCTCTTTCTCACTAGGAGATAATATATATCGAAAGAGACCTCATTATATAAAAACTTTATACTAGAGGTCACAATTGACTTGACAAACAAATACACCCTATGAGACGGGTAAAAACAATGTTATAATAATAAACTGCTAATTATAGTAATTAAAAAAAATACTGCCTTTTAAAATTTTAAATTCAAATTAATAATATTTAAAGACCGAGAATTGTTTGTACTGAATCAATGTAGGCAGCCCTATTCATATGCACAGGCGTGAAATATGAACGTCCTGATAGAAGTAGGTATGTAACATAGACGAAAACTCGAGGGGACGTGTTTGACTGAGCTACACAAAAGGTCTCGCTCAAACCCCTACAGACTCAGTTTGTGAATTTAATTACATTTTTATAATAGTGAACTTTGTAAGGCGACAGTATACATTTAGCTACAAGTTTCCACTACCGAAACACCAGCCTACAAAGTGTTATGCCTTTCGATTTCTCTAAATAAAAAAAATACAGTATGTGTTTCTTTATACAAGTAATTTAATTATTTTATAGCTCTTGTTTTAAATATCGAAAGAACCCTCAACTGCATTATTTATTGTTTTCCATTAAGGACAATAATATCAGGCAGTTAAAATTGCACGTAAAGGGCACATCGAAAACGTCAACATATCAAATGCGACACATAAAGGAGAACAAGTTGAAAAGTATGTGACATATTCTAGGAACTCACGGGTCGGAGTCTTTATGCGCGATTTAAAAGTCAAAATTATGCCCCGTTATGTACGCGCGATATACGCTTCGACATTGGCAATGGCCGGGTTTTTTCTTGAATAACCTTACTGACTCCTTATCAAGCAAGGGTAAGTGACGGACCATATAAGGATGGTCAGGCCACGAGTCATCGAGGATTCCTGACACACATATATTAGTTTACCACTAATGTAGCACTTTGTGTGAAGTCTTTGATTTCTAAAATTGGAAAAGATGACTGGTACAAAATAAAGTCTACTCACATTTAAACGTCAATTATAAAAAGTTTAAGAGAGAAAGAATGAAGAAACTTGGTGCAATAACATGTTACTATTAGTCCGATCGTAGAGTCTGGCTACTTACTTTTTTACCTCTTACAATGATTTTGAACAACTTAATAATAATATTAGTAATTATAAAAATTATATGTAATCATACAAATATAAACGATCAACTCATTTTGTCGGTAAGCGTGAGTCATTCGAACGTTTCGATAAATAATCCCTTGTAACAACGATTAAAGGATTCTTTATGACTTGATTCATCGCACCTTATTTAGAAGTATCAATCAATTTGCTCTATTTATATATGAGACTAGAATACATGTTTGAAGTATTCTAATACGTGCGAAGAATACACGAATTAAACTTATCTTTGCATGCGAGTTTTTTTTATAAAAAAAAGTTTTTCTTGTTTTGCTTCGGAAATAAAAAAAAAATCTTAGCATTATAAGCTATGCGTGAGAATGCGCCAAATCGATATTTATGGTCTCTACCTACCCCTATGGATTACGGTGTGATTATGTTGTCATAGTATTAAATGTCCGCTGTGAATTTGCTTATTAAAATGAAGTTATATAAAGATCTCTCCAACTCACCAGCACGGAAGACCTCTCCGCAGCCATCGCAGCGGCTGGCGAACTGTGCGTCATAGCAGTTGCCGCAGTAGATCTTCTCAAGCTTGGAGCCGAACTGCTTGTCGACGAGCGACACGCGGCACTTGGCGCACAGGAAACACGCCTCATGCCAATGTTTGTCCTTGTACGACAGGTCCTGGACAATATACAACACAGTTTCAATTTAAATATCTACATCTTACTACAATAGTGGCCACAATTTCTTTTGCCTTCAGTATATCTCAAGTCCAAGATTACTTGTGACGAATAAAAATTTAAATTTAAGATTGTAAAGAGCATTACCAGGTGGAATATAGAAATGTCCTTCAACTCTTGAAAGTCACATTCAGTTAATGCTCCTATTAAATATTAATGGTATACAAACCCCATATAAATAGTAATCGTTGCTAGCACATTGTTAAAGCAGTGTGGGTAGAAATTATAATACATCAGAGGGACAGGCTGTTTTTATTGCTCTAGAATTCTTTATCCTTCTCTACAGTTTACTACCTACAATCTAAGTACCGTTAGACTATGACAACATACTTTGTCGATTTTTTTTTTCATACCTGACGTGTTTAGACAATTGTATTTAAATTATTTGATTGTTAGATTTGATTTGATGCTGTTTGATCTGGGACTTGAATAGTAACAATTCTTTGCAACTTTGTATGAGTTTTATTCATCGGTATTAATTATGTTATGGAATAAAGCATAATCATTTTCTTTAATTTCTTTAAACTGTTTGAAAAGTGAAGATTTAATATGTACTAGATCCCTATTATCTTCATATAAAAAGCTGTGGCAAAAGCCAAAACAGAAACATCGTGTTACCGATCATGGGTGAAGCAAAATAATATGTAATACGAGTATAGCAAGAATTTAAAGCGTAGTCTTATAGTTTCACACGAGTGTACATGTTTATGCGTGTTGAGAAATAGTTGGAACAATTTCAAACAATTGAAAATCCTAGTGCGTTGTATTTTATGTTTCCAGATATTTCAAGAGCGGCAATCTCTAAATGGCTCACGAGTTCAGCGACCAAATAACGATTTTGTAATATTATAATGTATATGATTAATAGTATCTAATAGTAATATTGATATTTGGTCGCTGAAGTCGTTCAATATATATATTTTTACATTAAATTTTCTACTAGTTTCTGCAGATGCATAAACCTTTTTATAATTTTATAGGCTACCTGAATTCAGTTTCAATGTTACCTTTTCATTAATGTGTCTAAAGTTTATCAGGAATTATTAACTTGTACTGTTATCATGTATTAGAAGCCGTTTTAGGTTTTAATTAGGATAAAAATATATTTCTTCTTATGAAAGTCAAATGACATTAACACAGAGATTAAACGAGCACAGCGGTCGTTGACGAATGCTTTCGGTTTCAAAATAAAGCTCCCCTCATTCTGTATTCTATTCTTGGCAGGCCGACAAGAACCGGAGAACTCGCGCTTAGAACTAAATGTCGTAATGTCAATAAAATATGAATGTTTATTTTGGCCGATTACGAAACTCTTAGCGGGACTCGCGCATAAATCTCCAGCGATTCGCCTGATGGATTCACCCATGGCTGCTCAAGGTTAAGCCCGCAACAAACACGTCGAAAATACTGTATCCCCGAGCCGGGAATAGCTCGCCTGGAGCGACGGTGTTTGTTTTCGAAAAACGCAACGCAGATTTGTTCGAAGCTGAACGTTAAGACGATTTCACCACAGCCGATATACGTAATATACACAAAAGTATTTGCTTGACGCGTGATTGAATAAACAAAGAAAATATAACTAAACATACTTTTCAATTGCTATAAAATGTTTACATTTCATCTGTTAGATCATTCTCGTTTAAGATTTAATTAGCAGTGGATGAAGCGAGCCGCAAGAACAATCATAGTACATACATATGTATGTTGGCTATGGGTATGTTGGTCCCGATAGGAAAACTCATACGTTCTACAGATATATGTATGTTGTGAACAGTCACGTATCACTTTATGTCGGCTTGGCAGCGGTAACTGGGGCCGTGTGCAGTACGCCTGAAGAATCTGGGCCGGCTGGAGTGACATAACTAAATTTGATCAGTGTAACAAAGCAAAGCAATGCCATCACTCAGTGCTATTCTAAGGACAGAATTCGGAAGATGATCCTTAGTGATATTTTAGGACTGCTTGATATAATTAAATTGTCTGTAAGGTACAGACTGTTTTACATTGAAATTACTGGTACTAGAAATTTTATGTTCTTGGATTAAGCTGAAGGCATTATGAGAAACTAACTATTAATATTGATTCTATTTGGTTCAGTAGATATTCCAATCATGGATTGTAATAGTTTGAGATGGATATTATTTTTATCAAGATAATTGCAAGAGATTTTGTTTGGTATGCTAAGCTGACAGCCACATTGAATTGTACTCGTAAGTATACAAAATCTGTAAAATAAACAATAGTTTTTTCTTGCAAAGTGTAGTAGAAGTACTTATACCTTTATAGTACTAATGTTTTATGAAACCCTGGTACTTGATGGATCGCGTAGGAGTAACATCAGGTTTAACAGTTAAAAAGCTAACCTTGGAGTCAATGCCGATGATCTTGTTGCACTCCTCGCATCCGTTGGCGAAGACGCTCTCGTAGCACTTGATGCAGTAGGGGTGGTCGTCGCGCAGCACATAGCGCTGACCGGTCAGCGACTCGTCGCATTGCCAGCAGCAGAAGTGACCGCTGTGCCAGTCCTTGTTCATCGCCTTCGTGTATTCGCCGCTGAAAATTAGCTGAGGACAAGCAACCAATACATTCAACAACTATAACGGAAACTCAAAAGAAAATCAATTTTACAAGCACAAAAACACTATGCGATCTCAATAGAGTAAAAAAAGCCGATCACATTATTTTGTAATTTGATAGTTATGAGAATAGTTCAAAAGTGAAATATTTTCAAAATTGTGAAGAAGATAACAAAAAATTATGTTTTTTACTATTTCGTAATTTTATAAATATATACCTTAAATTAGGTCGGGTATGTGAGGGTGGCCAAAATAGGACGCCTAATATACTGATATCAAAGAGAGCTGTAAACGTCACTTCAGATCAAACGCGATCAGTAATGGACACTCGGACACAGATGCACTACGAGAGGCGTCACATGGCACTTGTCACGGGGTCAAGGGAGCTGGCCACCACTGCACATACCCATCGTCGTTGGTGTTGGTCGTGTTGGTCTGCTCGAGCTCGGTGACAGTCACCTCGCCGTCCTTAGATTCCCTACGCTTCGAAGTTTTCTTGACCTTCCTGGTCTTTCTCTCGGTAGTGGTGTACTGGACTTGTACGTCTACGTCTGCCATGGCTGGAGTCGATGTCGCCTACCGTTGCGAAGAAAGCGATATCACCGAACGCGGTCGCGACCCGAATTCGAATGGCGAGCACCGGTAGAGCTGAATTGGAGGAATTATTCCAGAATCTTTAGCGGCGCAAGCGGTCGAGTCGGTAGGGGGGAGTTTCGGATTTAAATTTGGAAGAGTGACGGAGAGGGCAGGTGCGCGGGCGGCGTTTCCGAACGTCCCGAGAATCGCACGTTTCCCTAGCGCACGTTAATCCCCCGCGCTCGCTTCACCGGATCCGATTCCGCCCCGATCACTTATGAAATGTAGACCGACAAACATCATTTACGATATTACTTTATCCCTTATCACTTGGCTCGTATTGGACTATCGCTCAATTGTAATTGGCAAATGTTAATTGATTGGCAAGATTTGCAATAAGTCTGTCAATTTCTCAATGATCCGCTGCGAAAACGCACTTGTTGACGGACAAAAAACCTTAATCAGATTTGTACTGGTGGCCATTATAAATATACGTTTATTTTATGACTAGAACATAATACAAACGAGCATTGATAGAATTCACATATAAGTTTTTAAGTTTAAGCTTACAAGATGTGTGTTGGGAGTATGTCAATTATAAAGTTGAAATAAAATAAACCATTTTGTTGAATGAATTAACGCAATACGCTGTAACAATAAGCAATACTGCTTCAAACTGTTACATCAAAGATGGTATGTTTCATAGAATCTTCCAAAGCCCGCATTTAGAACGGTACGGATTGACGGATTTACCCCATATGTTGCTATTCATTCCACGAAGCTATCAATACAGGACGCAATGGATTGAATTGTATGTATAACAGTCATTTAAAATTGTGCTATTGATTTATACAAACCTTACCGAATTATTAATATTTAATTCTTATGTTACAAATATTTGATTCTGGTTTAGCATCGATTCATGTGCAGTTACGTAACGACAAAAATTGTAATTAGTTATATTTCCTTTTCTAAGTCAATTTCTTATGTACCTATTGATTTAATGCAATTTTTGCATTAAATATTTTAATCTGTAAACAAACTGAAATTTAAAGTGATTGAAATTCCTGAACAATGAAAGCTTTCTTTTTATTTGCAAATGTCTAGACGTTGAGTGTGTTTGTTTCAGACCTCGCAAGGTCTTGGTCGTGATCGTGAGATTCATTCACCGACTTAAAAATAAATACTTCCGGCGTCTCCTGAGGCCGTGGGTTTGTAAAGCAACATCTGGTCGTGGGAGGAATTCGGCAAACTTGAGTCGAACGACGTGTGGAAAATACTCGATTTTCGTCTACATCTCTATTACTAATTTGGTTAAATATGTGGCGTAAGTGATTATTACGTTAAACATAACTAGATTGATAATTTCGTGTGCGTTAAAAGTGTGTACATAAGTTTTTAAGTAAAATAATTGCCATAAAGTCGTCGCCTTTGAGCCTCTAATCGTCTTGCAAGTATATTTGGATCTTGAAAATAAATAATTGTGAAAGCACTGAGAAAACATAGCACCCTGTGTATCACGTTACAAAGATTGAACAATTAGTCTACTTGCTTTTTTGTGTATCTTACATATATCTAAACAATTCAAATTATCCTTTTAGACCTTTTTCATGAACTTTACAACGTGATATTACTTAAAAGTACTGACGTCAAAAAACTAACAGAAACAATTTTTATCTTAATGAATCTTTGTCCGGGTCTTTTGATAATCTACGTTTAAGTAATTAGTTTTAAAGAGCATGAGGATTAATAGAGGTAAATGAACTCGTACTAATCAACCTTGTTATTCTATGCCGTGTCTATTAAGACATTAACCAATTTTATTTTTATTCGGGTTTTATGGCATGTCAGTATTTTATTTAATTATCTTGAACAAAACATTTTTGGTACATCCTTTACATTTGCTTTTTCATTTTTGACTGATGACTAATTATTATTTAAAACATAAGAAACTTCTAAAATTGTCCCTTTGTTTTTATTATGAAAAGAATTTTTCAAGAACGACGTTGTTTTGTGATGAGTTGCTATCCCAAAATTGTTTTGATATATCCGATGTAAAATAAAACAATCATTTATCATACGGTTGACATCCAAAACCAACCCACGCGTTTCGCAGTAAAAAGTTTTTACGTATTTTTTAGAATGGAAGCTTTTCTAAATCTCCGCCAAATGAGTAATCATAAACAATAGGTACTGATTTAACGATATCATAGCTTCATTCACTTTTGAATCCTAACCCTAGAAGGTTGCACTCACTTTGTTGAAGGATTTACATAAGCACCTGATTTTATTGTAAAGTTCAGTAATTTATGAACAACTATGCAATTGTAGGTTTGAAACAAATGAATTTTCACCAAGCCTTTTAATTCTTAAGAAATATTTGTTTACGGTATAATTATCTTTGGCTCGGCATTACGTCAAGTCTGAACGAAATATTTTTAGTCTGTGACAAAAGAATGATGGCGGGAAACAAAAAAGGACGCATATTTAAATTATGAATACACCAACATTGAGAGTTGAAAACAAAATACTTTTTTTTAGGATATAAGACTATTTGAGGAATGAAATATCTATATAATTCACAAATAATCTTTTACTAATATTTTAAATGAAAAAGTTTAGATTTATGAATGGATGTTTGTTAGGAGGTATCTCCAAAGCGGCTCAACGAATCTCTATGAAATTTGGTATAGATTTAGAACATAGTCTGGAAGAACACATAGATTTCAAATGCAGTTATCTTTTACTTCCACGTGGATAGAGTCGCGGGCGACAGCTACTGTTATAGTGTTAAATTAATATCTGATGAAATCCATATTAAATTTTAAAAGTCAATTGGTTTGGAGCCTTCAATTTATTTAATTCAATTAAAACAATTGAAAAAAAATTAAAATTTGAACTTCTTTCGTGAGTAAAACAAACAATTTGAATATTAAAGGAAGTCATAACTCATCATGGTCTTTTGAGACATTTGCTTTATTTTCTCATCATAGAGAAGTTACTGGTCGTAAAAACCTTTTGAGTGGTCGCTTTGAAATAAATGTAGACGTGTTGGTTTACAGCAGGAAGCCCATTGTGTTAGCAACAACCGCGGTAATAATATCGTTGCTGATTTGTTTTCTAAACCGCAGTCTACAAAACATACAGCGACTCGGTATGCGCTTCCAAGTTATCCAGTTTTAAGATTAAAAAAAAATATTTTTACCGTATTCAAGATTACATAACGTTAACTTGTCTATTTACTAACAGAATTGTTTCAAACCTTTCATTTGTCGTCTTGTTTTTATGTATTATTAAATAAATGTAAAACTTAATGCTATTCTTATTTATTGTAAAATGAATGTATATTTAACCAATTAAAGCTCAAGAATAATTAATTTTTTAACTCTAACAATTTTTATTTAATATTCAACTTGTAAGTCACAACTTATGATTCAAAGAACACAATTAATTTATCGAAGCATAGTTGTGATAATCTTTAGTTAAGTTGCTATAAACTTTTGATTAATTTAAGATATTGGGATATTGCATTACTCGATAAATTACATCCATATTCCCATAATAATGTGAGTTACTTATGATAACCTCTGGTAAATGCGACGCGCGTCATCTTCATTAAAACAGATGTGGGTCGAGGTCCCCGGCTCACCATGTCTCGGTATTTTCGTACGTCTTATGCAACTCACAATGCGACAAACTAATTTATGAAATATCACAAGTATTTACGATATAAAGGTATTACAAAATGTATGTCAATGTATCCACAAATATTTTTTTAGTAAAAGATTTTTAGTCTCGTTGTTAAAGTAACCAATACAAAAACGCTGAAGTTACCTAAACCCAATTTTTATTTATATTTGAGTCGAAGCTGCCATCGATTTCAATACCTATCTTGTTTATCGTGAGTTTTGTTAAGGTGTAAATTAAAAGACTTGTGTCATTAAAAGAGAAATGCTTAATATTGCTTGTACATGAACAAGCAGGTGTATTATTTTACAAAAATTTTTAAGCATATTTTTTGATTCTATAATATCTAATTAAAGCCAAACTTATTAAAGCTGCAACTTATACACAAGGTTCCCGTCGTTAAGGAATGTACTATGGTAACAATACTACGGAATGTAACAAAAACAAAACGCAAGGAAGGGTCTCAACACTTTATATTCAACATTGTCAGTCATGCTCGTATCGAAGCTGGTGCAATGCGTGCGGCGGCAACTGCAAGCGTTAATCTCCGAAGTTAGCCCAGAAATCAACATCTTCTTCCCTCTCCTCGGTTACCTCGTTTGTGTCTTTGTTATCGTCTTTTTCTTCCACGAACGAGTCTAACTTCGGCACCTCTTTCAGTCTAGATCTGACCTCTTCTGCCTCGGGCGTGCTAATCACCGACCCTTCCGTGCTCCATCTATCGTTTCTTCTCTCTCTCGATCGACTTCTGGAATAAGAACGTGCCGATAAATTAGGCGTGCTTCCGAATCTTCCGATGTTTTCGTTTTCATTCATTTTTCTAAATTCTTCCTCCTCAAGTGAAGTAAACATTTTTAATTCTTCGTCTCGCGATGCTTTTGAATCTCTCGATGAATTTGATGAAGACGAATGTCGTTTCCTAAAACTTCTGCGACGCCCGCTCGGGTCGTTTCGTTGTAAAGGGCGAAACTTAATCCCGTCAAGTGATCTTAAACAAATTAACATTATGTGAGTCGGATTATCATCATGTGTTATGAATCCGTGAAATAAGTGACTCGCTAATCTCTATACGTGCTCTGGTGCTCATGAGGAAATGCACTAAATGTGAACAAACACGTAACAATGTCACAATGGTTCGTGATGTATGTGAAGTCACACTCATAAGCATGCTTTCAAAATCACTGAATAATAACCTTAAAAAATCTTCGCTGTAAGCGGTGCTGTCCCTGTCGGCGTCGTATGACTGGAAATGTATTTCTGGTAATGGCTTGCGAGTCGGACTTTGGGGTTTGTAATGCCATGACATTTTAGCTTTGTTCTCAATAGCTGCATTTAATTCTTCTTCATTATCAAATGAATTCTCAGAATTTTTAGAATTTATGGTATTTTGAGGAGTAGTTATTCTACTCCTTCCTCCTATACTAATCGACTCGGAAGTATTTGATATAATTGTTTTAGTTTTCGTCGGTACATAAAGGTCCGCTCCATAGTCACCGTTGGCTTGTGAACTCTCGTCGACAGATTCTTGACCGAAACTAGAGATTTTGGTCGAGAACAAGATGGCGGCCGACCGTGTTTGTCCATAATATTTGACAGCTGCAGACTTGAGTGATCCATTTTTATCTTCCGTCAAGACGAGATATCCTTGGCCACATTCCTTTATCCATTCTCCGGGGGACGATGGGTTTGATGATTTATTGAGTAGCCTCGTGTAGTATTCAACTAGTGCTTCAAAGTCTGGTTCGCCGTCGGGCACGACACCTCTAATTATGTGCTTTAAGCATTCTATCGCTTCGTTTATTCCCGCGTATGATATCACGAGTGAAAGCATCAAGCCCATTCTTCGAGGCACGAACTAGGGAGGTGATAGGAATGGGGTTAAAGTTCCTCGGAGTGCGAGTGGGTGACGGGGCGCGGGATGCAGCGATGTGACGCCGGGGCAAGACATGAACAACTGAAAATTAAAATGCTATTCTTGCCAGATTAGTGTCCACATTTAGCTAAAGATTTTGGCCGTGTGGCCAAACTTCGACACTATTATGTCTCGTTTAATCTCGACATTCAAGGTTCCCTTGTGTGGTTCGTTTTGTGACAATAAATTTAATTGATCTATAGATTTATGCACATAATATTTGTAACCGTATTGTAAACATTCTTTTGATCAATTCAACCTTATTTAGTTAAAAACTACTTCTACTACAGTATATGAATATTTTGCCTAATATTATTGATGTTTAGACAAATTAATTCAAATGTGCCATGAATCAAATGTAAACTTATCCGCCTCATAGCTCTTTGCTATGAATCTATTTTTACACGCGTCTAATAACTCAAGCAATATTAAAAAAAACTGGCCGTTGTTCATAGGCGGAGATTTATTTTGATACAACGTAACGCTTCCAATGATCTGACATTGAAATCAGATTTCGTAGATCCTAAAATAGTAACTATATATTGATCATACTGGTTTACAGTGAGTCAGCGAATTTAAGTAAAGTTTGATATTAAAGCCTGAAAAATAAATTAAAACTGCTTATTAATGTCAAGAAAAAGAAACAAAGTGCAAACTTCCGTAATAGACTTGGACTGAGAAGAGCTGTGACCGCGAAAACCGCTACGTAACTCAATCTCAAATGATTAATGATTGCGAGCTACTGCAGATCATTATAACACCAAGTAGCAAATTACGTAAAGTAATATTTTAACTGAAAATTACAGCTTTAAGGTTGAGGAAATAAAGTTAGAATATTTATTTAAAAAAAGAACTGAAAAAAGAGAATTTATTATAATAATTAAATTCTTAAAGCGATTACAATCGAAACAATAACATCTGACGCGCTATTATTCGCGCACGCGTTTCAAAAGACATGACATTTAGCGTCGCCGTCGGCAGCTTTCGCTGAAAAACATCGGCGATCTGTTGTCACGATGCCAATTATTTTATTACCAAGCCTATACGTACATATAAAAGCTATATTTTAGACGGAAACTTCCTTTCAGCCTGCAATATTTAGATTTTTTGCACAAATATTTAAAAAATAGCTGTGCTCGCGAAATTAAAAAAAATATATTTCTATATATGTCAATCAGCGAGATCCGTTGTGCCGTTTTACTTTTTAAAAAATATCCATCCATCTGTCCATCCATCTAAACTTTCGCATTTATAATATTAGTTAGATAGATGTGAATCCTGGATTTCCACTTTTTTGTGAACTTTGAACATTTGTTCATGATTTTAATAAGTAAGAAATTATGAAGTTCCAAACTTTTTTAAAATTTATTTGATATTATTATGTTTAATTCAACGTCGATCGCTAATAAATATACGTAAAGTTTAAGATTTTTCCTTCAAATGTAATTTTAAATTCAAATGTATAGGAACTGGCAATCAATTGTTTTACCAATTAATTAACTAATAGACATATCTTGTTAACTAACTATTTTAACTATTCACGCCATTTATTTATTTCGAAAATATTTTTATTTGTAATCGATCTTTTTTAAAATACTTAGCCGTGACAGTTAAATCCAATGATTATATGTTTATTGTATAGAAACTTTGGTACGTATTTGTGATCTATAAATCTGTTCCATTTTTAAATTTTTTATTGGTTTTTGAAAACACAAAATTAAGTAAAATATATTTTTTTTATTTTATGACATTTCCGAAGTGCCTGACACTACATACTCTATGCAAACGATTATGAAATTTCCTATATACTTCAAATCATAGACACGGTACATTGGTACTGCGCTGAACTCGAATAATAGCTTGTACGATCGTTTTATAGTTGTATGTTTCGTTGCCAAACAATCAATAAATGTGAATAATAAACCGATCAAAGATCAGAAGACGCAAACTTTTAATGAAATTATTTTATTTAGTTCGAATAATGTCTCTGTTTTTTATCTATGTTTAAGATTTGTGTTTATATTTTTATATTATAAAGTGGCATACGACTAAGCGGCCACCTGAATTTGCTTGCAATAGCAAAAGCACTGACTACCTTTAATCTACGGAGGGCGTACAGACAGAGAATATTACCCCTTCCTCTTTCAAATCCACTCCCACTCCTTACCCTTTTCTTATACGATAAGGGTGGGAATGGACATAGAACAAAAATTAATCTTCCGGCACGCTCACACATCAGACGCGGAATGACTTCCACTTCATGCCTGTCTTGTATGTAGTCGTGTTATTTCACTGGGCGAGTCGACTCATTCGTGCAACAGATGTGGTTGACAGTGTCTACCACTATTAAACTGTATTTAAATATAGAGACAAGATCTGACCATAAAGTTTATTAAATAGTTGCAGTGTTAGAACATGTAGAAGCTAGGCGAATGTATTCTGTTTTATTAATAGAATTTAAGCGATGTTAATGTTGGTGTGGTGCGAACGGTACGAGTTCGTCTGTATGTCTGTAAATCGCACGGATCTAATTGCAGCCCGATGTATGACGCGATTGTGACGCGGGCAGGTTCGTGTGAAGATACAGGCTAACGCGTGGGCGATGGCTAGTCAACTGATCACGTTCAATAGATTTTCACAATCGTAAGATTTTAGAAAAAATAAAATGAAATGCCTTTATTTTGAACATATTTTACTATATTGTTTATCTATATAGAATGCATCTTTGGTGCACCCATTAAAAAGTTCTTATTGGAAACACTGTTCGATACGTATCAAATATAGCCGTGGTTGGAAATTACAAACTTAGTGACAGTGGTCACACCTTGCAGGCATGTGGTTTAGCATAAGACAGATCAAAGTTTCAATTGGCAATACGATTATTTTTACCGTAAGGTTGTAACCGGTCATTCGGGACATTACATCGACCTTTAAGTTGTCTGATTTAAGCGTTTATTTTTATAATATTCCAAATTGTACGTTCAAATATACATTAAAAGATTATTATAAGATATGGGTATTGTCTGGACGCTTTTGCCAATGTGCCGTAAAAGCTCTGAATGACCTTGCCTTTGGCTGTAGTGAAAGTAATCAGAAGTGGCGCGGCGCGAGCGCGCGCTGAAACTCTACACCGCGTGACGTCACGCGGGCCGTGCGCACCAGCGGCCGAGCCCATGCAATAAGGACGCAACACGTACTAGTGTTCAAAGATTAAATTACCAACAACACAGAAATATCAAACCAATTTACTAAAAAAGATTAAGCATTACTTAAAAGATTAACCCTCAATCTACTAACATACAATGATAATAATGTGTTCGAAACGCATCGTTTTTTTATGTAACGTAACGAACGAAAATAAAATAACGTAGCACGTAGCGTCACGAAATAGTAACGCCGTTACAACGGCGTACAACGACGCGCAAACAAATTTCAAGGTTTTCGCGGCCTACATTCAATGCCTCCATTCATAAAAATGTTTTGCACTAGACGTGGTTGAATGGAAAGGAGGAAAGAGACAGAAAAATCTTTTAATAGAATAATTGTTGTTTCAGAAGATGTCATCTGATTAAATGAACTTAAGCAACGATTATGTATCGATCCGAAATGGGATAGTAGGTTTTGGGAGGAAAGTGGATGTCTTGGAATCATCGAGAGTCAGCTAGCAGGAACTTTCAAACGCTCAATATTTTACAACATACTTGTGGCATTGGATGGAATATAACGTAGTACTTGTCACAAAGGTTTAAGGTCAGTTAAAGGTCAAACGGAAGATTATAAAAAAGAACATTTATTAAACTATTAGGTTCCGGGGTCGACGGCTGCATATAAATTAAGTAAATTGAGTGCTACGTGTTCTGTTTTACCGCTCATTTCTTTTTAACAGTTGCAAGGTTATCGGATGTTGCAGATTAAATTTACGGATCATGAAGATATATCGGATGATATCATTCTTGGTGTACCGTTTGATCCGTTGCCGCGCGAACTACGCTTCGCTTTCGTCTGACAATTTCGTTTTTTAGATCGTACTTTATTACGATTTACGTACTTCTTCGTAATGAATTACAGACTACAGTTTTTAAAGACATCTGCTTTTTTATTTCCAATGTCATGGATACATCGTATATTTAATTAAATCGTTATTTTTTCTCTAGAAGTCTGTCTTAAGAAAAAATATTGATAAATGCCGTGTAAATTCTAACGACAGGCTCAATAATTCTCTCGACATATATTGAATTATTACCAATAGTATTATGACAAATAAGAATTAAATAAGATTTAAATTACTCCACTTTATTATAATACCAAAGGCAGTGGCATGGGCGTTGCCAGCCGATGATCTAGGTGATATTCGACGAAGTTCTATATCTATTTTACATTTTTTTAATTAACTACGTTGTTGATACTCCCCCCCCCCC